CCACAGTTATTAATTGAGAGCTTTCGATGCCTGTACCATTTTTGCATTGATATGATTGTGTGGCAAGTCCAATCATACAAGCCCAGGGAAGTCGAGAAAATTTCCAACCCGAAATATTCCTAGACCGAACCGGGAATCGAACCCAGCCACCTCCAGCATGGTCTTGCTTTGTAGCTGCGCATTTACCGACTGAGCTAAGGAAGGCCCCGTCTGTGCACGTGGATGTCAAATTTATCATTGTTGGATGGTTTGTTTACCCATCAATATGGGCATTTTTTGAATCGGGGTGACGTCTAGAGATCGAAAATTGAAATCATAGATGGCGGCTTCCAGTTTAATAAAAAGTGGGAAATACTATCAAATACCTATCAATAAAGGTATTTTTGGAATCGGGATGATGTCTAGAGGCTGAAAATCGATATCCGACGCCATTTTGAAATCCAAGATGGCGGCTTCCAGTTTAAAAAAAAGTGGGAAATACTATCAAATACCCATCAATATTGATATTATTGTAATCAGTATGGGGCTGTTCATAAACTACGTAGACATTTTTTTGGGATTATTGACCCCCCTCCCCCTGCGTAGACAATTGTCCATACAATTTTTTTAAAATTTGTATGGGCCGTGAAAAATTTTCAGCACCCCCCCCCCCCCTAAACTGTCTACGTAGTTTATGAACAGTCCCTATGAAGTCTACAGATCGAAAATTTATATGCGATGCCATTTAGAAATCCAAGATGGCGGCTTGCGATTTCAGAACAAATGGGAAATATTGTCAAATACCCATCAATATAGATATTTTTGGAAACGGGATGGCGTCTAGAGGTCGGAAATCGATATCCGACGCCATTTTGAAATCCAAGACGGCGACTTCCGATTTGCGGAAAAATGTCAAATACCTTACAATATGGTTATTTTCAGAATGGGAATGAGACGTAGATGACGAAAATTGATGTCACGCCGTCTTTAAATCCAAGATGGCGGCTTTGGTTTACAAAAAACAGTGAACTACTGTCAAATACCGATCAATGTGGGTTTTTTTGGAAGCTAGAAGCCAGAAGTAGATGTCCGACGCCACCTTGAAATACACGATGGTGGCTTCCGATTTCAGAAGAAGTGTCAAATGGCCTGCAAATGGCATCGGCTATCGATTTGCAGCATCAACGCGCCGTGGGAATCGGAAAGGTCCCCGTTCCGATAAATACCCTGATATTAGGGTACCTGACACTTCTTCTGAAACCCGATGGCTGCCATATTGGAGTCCAACATAGCGTCGGATATCGATTTTCGGCATCCACGCGGTTTCCCCGTTTCAAAAATACCCATATCTTAGGGGATTTGAAACGTTTTATGAAACTTTATGGCCACCATCTTGGATTTCAACATATCGCATATCGATGTTTGACATCTACGCGACGTCCCCGTTCCGAAAATACCCATATTGTATTTGACACTATCAATTTTTGACATCTCCGCATTGTGCCCGTTCCTAAAATACCCATATCTTAGGATATTTGACACTTCCGAAAACCAATTGTCACTATTTTGAATTCCAAAATGGCGTCGAGTATCGATTTTCAGCATCTACGCGCCGTCCCCGTTCCGAAAATATCCTATTGGAGGGTATTTAACACTTTTTTTGAAACCCGATGGCCGCCATTTCGGATTCCAAAATGGCGTCGGGTATCGATTTTCGGCACCTTCGCGTCGTCCCCGTTCCGAAAATACCCATATTGTAGGGTATTTGAGACTTTTCCTGACCCCGATGGCCGCCATCTTGGAGTCCAGAATGGCCTCGTTAATTTAATTTTCGTTTAACATAAAATTATAAATTACTAGCTGAGTGTGCCCGGTCTTGCTCGGGATTCAATATTAGCTTGAGTTTATGCGCCGATTTAAAAAAAAAGCATGCTATATTGTACGTAGCCCCCCCCTATTATCTAAGGGGCTACCCCCTATGATTATCTCCTTATACCCCCACACTCGCCCCCACATGCCTAATTTGGTTCCATTTGCTTGATTAGTTCTCGAGTTATGCAGAAATTTCTGTTTCATTTCTATGGGAGCCGCCCCTTACAGAAGGGGGAGGGGTCTCGAACCATCATAAGAATCTTCCACGGCCCCAAAAACCCCTGACCCCAGACAGACAGACAGATAGACAGAAATTCATTTTTATATATATAGATATATATAGATTACTATACATAATCCGGATGCCATCCCTATCGGCAACCGATATTGTGCGGATACTATATTTTGTTGCTTGACTACGTGATGCGTGACAAGTCGAATGAGCTCGAATTGAGGTGAAAGTGGAAAAAACGAAGGAAGCAGTTTTCGAGTCATTCATTGCGTCAATTGAAACAAGTCTTTGCTTCAAATGAAATGAACTGAAGCACTTGACGAACGAAACAAGCGATAGTCAAGTAATGTTTGAAGGGAAGAATGTTCATCGTGACTCGATAACAAGAAACACGGGATCCGGCGGAGAGTTCATTTTCTTTTCTTTGTTTCGAAAATGCATAGCCCTGGTTCCGAGTATGAATATAGAATATTCCGAGAATTTCAGAAACATCTGGAAAATTGTTGAAACTTAAGAGAAGTTCCGAGAGTTTCTCGTAAAATTTAGGAGTCTTCATGAAGGAACGAAATCTCCAAGTCAGAGCCCAGAGATTTTAGAGGAAGTTTTATGAGCTTCAAGGAAGTATGTATCAAAAACTTATATGCATGATGCATGATAGTGGTCTACCATCCATTGTAGCAGGGAAACTAAGTCCGATAGCAGTAAGCTGTCTTCTCTGTTTGTCTTGATCAAGCTTAATAACCTCTGATTGTCCTCAACATGTCGCTGTATAAAGGACCAAAATCGGATTGGGTGGATCGATAGGCAAAGTATACGCATCTATGGGACAGTAAAGAATCTCCTTCCAACAACATGATCGCATAATTTGTCAAAAATACAAGCCCCCAAACAGGAAGATGCCTCAATGAGCGGGGAGAAGAGCTCGCCCTTTATCCACGAAATGTTATCAACAGGGAGTTGGCATTTGCACTCTCCCCATCCAAATCGCTTCAATCGGGTGCCCTGATGGTCCCTCCCAATCCCAGCATTGTTTTGTGTTTAAACTTTCGCTGTCCTGCATCGCTGCTAGTCGCTCCTAGTCTCCCGTGTTATTTCTGATGTGTTCTACGACATTTCGACGTCCATTATAATGATCTTGAGTTCCTAGTTGCGTCTTATAAAAACCGTAACACCAGTGCGGAAAATAGACAGTGTAATTTCTCAACGAGCAATGAGCATCACTCCATTGTCGTTTCGCATCTGCTCAATTTTGCAGCTCTTCTTTCACTTTTACTTTGTGAGGAGAACCAGTCGATGGCTGAAAGCCTTATAAATAAAGGAGAAAAAACTAATATAAACTATAACTATATGATTAATTGTGAATCACCTTGGGTTCAAATAGAGGTGCAAACATTAATGCTCGATTACCACGGTAAAACTACAAGGGCTGTCCCTATGAGGTTGTACGCAATGGTGACGTAGGTCTACGTGGTATTATATAATAAATCTTATTTATTAACTGCAGCAGGAGCTTGTGTTTGGTGTAGGAATAGGAATTTGAGCGAGGTTCTCTCTGTTTATACTCTTTAGTATGACGCGCTTGACATAGATGGCCCACAGTGACTCACGAAGAGCTACTGATTTCGATCAATAGCGGTGCGGCTTCTCCCTCCTTGTATGTATGCTCATGTTGGCTGCATCTCGCTGCTTGCAGGCAGCCTTTCGTTGTGTACTGGAGAACACCACCACTCACCACGGGGTGATTGAATAAACACCGTTTGGTGAGACCGGATGGAATTAAACTTTGAAATCTGTGTTAGGGAAATCGTTTTTCGCAGGCAATCGGTGATAATTTTAATTATCATATCAACAGTTGCACATGCGTGCAATTTTCAATAGCGACATTTTGAAAAATGATTAAGTCTTAAATTTAACAGATGCGTAGAAATATTTCTGATCGAATGGTGATAAAATTATTGAAATTGGTCCAGAGGCAGCTGAGTTATTATCGTCCAAAATCTTTCATAATTTTGTTCCATGTTCCATTTTTGGTTTTCACAAAGTGTACCCCCATATAGAAATCACAGGCGTAGTCCTACGTCAGAAATCGGAGTATGGCTCTTTCGCTTCACACCTCTTCGCTAATATTTTCCCTAGCAAAATTTCATCTGTAATAATGAATCTACAATTTTTTTTATCGATTCAACGTGGAACGATTTTCGACTCAGTTTTCGTTTTTGATCTTCAGCACAACAGTTTGTCGAATCAAATAATTTAAGGAAGCATCCATTAAGTACGTCACGCGAAATTCAGGCAAAATTAACACACCCTTTGGCTTTTCATAGTTTTCTAAACCGCCCTACCTCCCTTAGAGCGTGGCGTATCTAATGGATCATCCTTTAATTGTATGTACAGTGAATCATTTATAGATGAGCCGTTATTGATTTAATGTTTACCGCCACGCGATATTTGTCGAAGGCGCAGCACCTGCATGCAGAGATATGTTATCACAAGATAAAGCGGGATAACGTTAGTTTGCATGCTCCTTTGAGATTATCTACCTGCGATTGGACACGTGTTGGGTTCAACGTGCTACAATAAATGTGTAATTTACTGATCTCAGGTTCTCATGCTACAAAATATTCTGTTCATACTGCCTGATTTTCTACATAGCCTTTCGAATCGACAGATTCAGTGCATTGACCTTATAGACCATCTTCTGACGATTGTGTCTCCTGCATTCTTCTTTCCAAACTGGTTTCACATCTATGTGATGCTCCGCTTAATCTTGGCCCAGTGCTTAAGATTACGGGGCAGTAGAAAGTTTGACCAGAAATCGAAACAGCACTCATTTTTCCCCAGTGGGATCTTTCTCAAAATTATGAACCTCAATCACTCAAATTCAAATTTTCACTAGATTATCTAGATCAATATTTACCCAATTGAAGAACGAGGCACACATGTAACACGATCTCTCCCAAAGCACTGAATAAAATGGAAAGTTGCGTAGAAAGGCTCTGAACTGGAATTATTTTCTTTTATTCGATTCACACACTATTGTACTTCGTGAAAAAAAAATGCTTCGCAGATAGTAGTCCGTGGTGGTCGGTTGCTAGGTTACTACTGACCATCGCCAGTACTGTGACCTGAACGAAGCGTCGAACGTCGTAATTCCAGCGTTGTCGTCGTCATCGTAATCATCATCATCATCATCATCATCGCACGATACAGGCATAGCAGCTATCATAGTGGGTAACTCCACCGCGAGGTGCCGGTATGCCTAAAAGCATGTCATGTCGACATGTGCATGGCTTCCTACACATACCATTACCGTGAGGGTGCCGGTATCAGTGATGCCACATTTTCCATCTGTATGTTGTGGTTCCACTCATCATTTTTGATTTTCCAGCTTCCATTTCCCGAAATCTATATAAATCTGTAGGTATATTTTTACAAAAATCTGTAATCTGTAATCATTTCGGAAAAATCTGTATGTGTGGCATCACTGGCCGATACATGCGATGCATCTTTCCACATTGCCTGTTCCAGCGAAAGGCAGTAATATGGGTGGCAGTAATTATTGATCAAAGCCTCTAGGCATGGGTGGTAATTATAAGGAAAGCAGCAAGTGGTGAAGTTCAAGCATTTATGAAAATTCCTGGGCAGCATTAATATGTAAAAATACATGGTTGCATGGCTTTGACAACAGTTTGGTAGTCAAATTTTATGATTAAATTGGGGAAAAATGCAGTTATTGCCTTAAATAGTATAGGAGTAATCAACCTAGCAGTGACTGACGTGTATAGTTTGAAAATGTTAGAATTCAACAGAGTTCTACGGTACTAAATAACAAGACAATTGGTGCCTTTTCTTGACTTTTAAGAAGATTAATAAATATTAGCAACACCTTCAAAACATGTTTTTGCACGCGTGCTGCTTTATTTGTTTTTCTTTTCTTTACTCAACTAATACGCATTGCGTAACGTTTCCCACATTTCTATATAACTCCTGTACAAACAATCATATAATAGTGGGCTTTCTGAACCGTTAAATAAACCACGCGGGACGAGCGAAAGATGGAAGTTGGTTTAGTAGAAGAAGCTGGTAGGTACCTAGCACAGAAACAAAATAAGAGCTTGCGGAATAAATCAGCAAATGCATCGTCATTGTGATGCCGCGACTTCGCTCACCCCCTAGGTATATAAAAGTTGAGCATTGTGCTGAGTCACGCTGACTCGGCACAACTTTTTGTCAGTTAACTGGTTTTTTTTTTACTTTCCTCCTCGCTCTGCATCTTCCGCCGATACCATTCGAATGATGGGGGTTAAAAGAGGCAGGTTACCTACACACAAATCAAACGGCAAATACATGAAATGTAAGACGTTTGTACATGTTTCTTAGGAGCCAATTTTTCCTGAATGAATATTTTCGTACAATTCCTTCAAAAAAATCTGAAAAGAATCATCCGATGACTTGTTAAGGTCAAATGAATCGGTGACAATAAATTTCATTCCTAACATTGGGAACAGATCCAGCACGCTAAAGGTTATGAGTTCAAATCTCATCCCCGGACAAGTCACGAATTACCAAGGGGTGGTCACTCTACACACTTATTTTACGCCAACTTTTTTCTCAGTGTGTCTCAGTGTGCTGCAGCTGTGCCGGCAGTGCCGATAAGTCATTGAACTGACTTTTGTTTGGTAACCCGGTATTTTAACAGCGCTTGTTTTTGTTTTTCGAAACCTGAGATGACCCGGGGGTAGGAAGGACATTTTCGTTCCGAGATATGTACTAGTACGAGTCTAAGTTGAGTGAGGAAAAGTTCCAGGTTTTTCAACAGCGGTTATTATCGTAGGCTGTCCCGAGTGATAAGTGAAGCATTTGAGGTGACCCGACATTTTCTCAACCCATCCCTCCTCTTTGCTTGTCCGTGTGTGCTAGTAAACAAAGCTCAATTTTAATGCTCATGGCGTTCAACGGAAACGGTGCCGGCGGTGGCCAGGACGGGCCGCACAACAAACGCCTATATACCGGCCAGGAGATGATCGCAGGGTGGCCAGTGACTTTTCATTTTTAAATTCCCGGTTTTACCGGTTCAAATCTAAAAATTTTCCCGGTTGTTGATATTCAACAAAAAACGAAATTGTACGCATTTTTTTAAAACGTGGCCAACTGTAAATTTTCAGTGATTATTTGTGGGAAAAATAAAAGCCAAATTACAGAAAGTGTTTTCTAAAGCTATAGGAAAAAATCAACTTCATGTGTCACTTAATGTATTCAAAACAATTTATTAATCTTTCGAGATACTTTGGTAAATCGAATTCTACCACATTTTATGCTCGATACATTTTATGATTTCAAAGCCCTAAAATTTATTGAGTGACAGAGATTAAGGTCACTGGGCCAAATGCTATCTGGATGAATAGGTTTTAAGAAAGAATTGTGAAGAATCAGAGATTTAATTTAAAACATGTTTCAGTAAAATGAACTTGATACAAATGAGAATTAGAGCAAATTGATAGTGATATCGGATAAAGAAAATGTGTATTCACTCCATCGTCTATACTAACATAAACATTAACATTAAAAAAAAAATATAAGTGAAACCTACTGACGTTTGAGCTCGCCCAACTTGAAACTAAACATGGTTCATAAAATTTAATACCCACGACCAATACTTGAAAAAAAAATACTCAAAGATTATTTACTAAAAAGATAGATTCCCAAGATTCTGGGGCTTTGAAATTTGTGTAGAGTCTGAAAATAGAAATTTTCTTCAAAATTTGGGATTAATAACAATTTTCGTGATGCAATATTTGGAGAAAAAATAGTTAAAATGTGAGAGTTTGAAAATTTCCCAAGATCACAGATTTAATAAAAAAAAATATCATGTTTATTAAATAGTCGTGCAGTCATAATTGTCAAGGCTCTGAGACTTGGAAGCATTTTAAGGGTTATAACAAATTACAGAACAATCGATAGAATCTTGCGGACAACGGATCTTGGAATTTTCAGTAAAATTTCAAAGTATTCAAAGTGTTGATTTCAAACAACTATTGAGGAGGATTCCCACATAGTTTTCGAAGGAGAAGTTCTGAGCAGAATTTCCAAAATTATTCTGACATGAAGTCCTTAGAAATTGTTAGAAGAATTTGGAAGGATTTCTGGGGAGAAGATTGCAAGTTCTAAATTAAATTATTAGGTAATTTTTGAAGAATCCCAAGAGAATTATGATGAGAATTCAACAAGACACAGAGTTCTAAGAGTGTTCTTGCGATAATTTAAACGCTAGTGTGAAAGATTCATCAAATAGCTCCAACAAAATTTATTGCCAAAAAAATTGCTAATAATTAGAAAGAAATTCTTTAAAATACTCCAAGGGGTTTCTAAATACTTAAGTAATTACAAATTTCGAAAGATTTATGCTCTTTTGAATAGAGTTAAAAGAAAATTTTGAAAAGAATTTCAATGAAATCAAAGTCTCCGAATATGTTTAAGGGAATTCTAAGACGGATTTCAAACAATTTCTTAGAAGGGGTTTCAAGGAAATTCAAAAATAATTCAACGGTAATTATTACGCAGAGTGTTTTCTGGTTAATTTTAGAATAATTCTATAAAAATACAGAGCAGGATTCCAAGTTCATTCTGAAAATCATATCATGAGAATTTTGAATAAAATTAAAACCCGGGAAAAGAATAGTTCAGTTTCAGTTTTTACAAATATTTGTTTCTAAAGTTCAGCATCTTCTTTTGTTTTAAGGCTCATGCACTTTACATCTGAAATTGAATCGTAAAAATTAATTTGAAATATTGCTGAGTGATTAAATTCTAAAAACAATAAGGCGGGAATCTGAAGAAAATTATGTAGCAAATAAAGAAAGACATTCATTTGGTAAAAAATCACTCTGTTTTAATGGTTTATTCTAAAATTCAGGTGTAAAAATGTATTCCTATGGTGTGATTAATTTATTTTTCCCGGTTCTCTCATCGAATTGCTGGATTATTCCCGGTTACTTTTCAAATTCCCGGATATTTCCCGGTATTCCCGGTTCGCTGGCCACCCTGTGATCGAGACAGTTCCGCTCAATAGCCGGAACAACAACAACATCAACGTAACAGATGAGTCTCGGCGAAAGCGCGAGGTAGCAACCCGGCCCAACCATATCCTGCTGTTCACCATCATTAATCCAGTGGATGTTCTACACACCATCTACTCACCCAACGGACACGTGCAACGTATAAAGATATTCAAGAAGAATGGAGAAGCTATGGTTGAGTTTGACAGCCCAAGTAACATTTCAAGTTTTATCGTGGTTTTAAAGTGTTCTACAAGTCTAAATCATGGTCTTCAGAACCCTCTTAAAACTCAAATTGCTACTTGGGAGGAAACGGATTTGCACCAAATTTTTCACCGCCGTCGAAAAAATGGAAACCAACACCGGCCGGAACACACTTCGGACTGACGGAGGAAGCACCGCTGACCCGAAAAGGACCAGCCAACTTCATTCAACCGGCACAGCAACAGGGTGCAACGATGATGGTCTACGGACTCGAGAACAACACAGGCATCACCGATAAGCTGTTCAATTTGTTCTGCCTGTACGAAAATGTTGTCAGGATAAAGTTCCTGAAGCCCAAAGAGCATCCAGCACTTGAACAACATTCCAATCGGAAATGATGGTACCACATTTCAGATTGCATTTTCCAAGCAGAACTACTTGTCAGAGTCCACCAACCCCTACACCCTGATGGACAATTCGATCAGCTTCAAGGACTACTGAGCCTCCAATAACAATCGCTTCCTTTCCCGAGCAAGATTCTCCACTTCTTCCATACCCCACCCGGTATGTCCGAGGATCTGCTGCTGACTGCATTCACCACCAAGGACTGCCACCCGTCGCAAGTGCGAATGTTCTCGCTGAAATCGGAACGTTCCTCCTCCGGATTGCTGAAGTTAATCAGCTTTTCATCGATGTGTGTTCTTGTTAACTTATTGCTCAACAAGTCAAAATCATCAAAATGCAAAGCCTTTCCCCGGAAAAGCGTAAACAGATCGTGCACAAATCGTGCACTTTTCTCAACCTATCAGTAAGGAAGTTGGCGAAATTGGAGGAA